GGGCTGGGCGAGGAGCCGGGGGTCGGCGCCCCCAGCTCTCAGCCACACATCATCTTCATCCTGGCTGATGATCAGGGCTTCAGAGACGTGGGGTACCACGGATCCGAGATCAGGACGCCCACCCTCGACCAGCTAGCTGCTGAAGGGGTTAAACTGGAGAACTATTATGTTCAGCCGATGTGCACACCGTCCAGAAGTCAATTTATCACTGGAAAGTAAGTTTACTGCTACCTCATCATTCACCTCACCAGCTTAAACACTGTCCCTGTTGAAAAGAGCACGGGTTGAACCTGGCGAGGTCCACCTCTGTTTTATCCTGTCGGCAGAGCCGTGCCTTTTTGATCTGCTTTAAAACCTTGAACTAAACGGACTTTCTAATGTGTTTGAAGTAGCAAAGAAAAGCTCACGCTCTGTGAGGCGGTGAGGATTCAGCACTGTGCGCTACCCCTGCAGAGTGCTGTCCTACAGTTACTGCCTCGCTAACATACGTGCTAGTTGTCAAGTAGTGTTGTGAGTACTGGGAAGTGATCAGCTTGGATTTTCTGTGCCATTTCAGAGTGACTTGCAGGAGGAGTCAGTGTTAGGAAACTGAAAAACTTATGTTTCCTCCCACGTGTTCATTGCAGCCGGCATGTTGGCTCACAGGTCCCATGAGCACTGACTTAAGGCTAGTTCTCTCTGAGGGCTGTACTGAACGTATGAGATGGTTCCCCAGTGCGTCACATGTGGGTGAGTGCCGGGAAGCCGGAGTCTGTCGGGATCCCCCGCGCTGCATCGTTGCTCTCGCCATGGTGTGGTTTCTGCTTTGCAAACAATTGGAATTTTTTCTCTGAAGCCACTAAACGAGGTGCTTCGCCAAAATGCTAATAGCAGTGAGCTGGTACTGTGTGCTTTGCCATCTCTGGTAATCGTGGCTTATTGTGGTCTGTAGAGTAAATAATTAATTACCCAGCCTAAGGGGTTTCTTACATGTGAAGGTTAATAAGGATTAAGGGAGAGAGCATGTATTTGAGCTGTAGGAATGGTTCCCAAATAACTCCAAGTGTGGACACACATTTACTCTGGAACAAACCTGTCTTGTTTCTGTTTAGTTTAACTCACTTTGACAGAAACAGGGAACTCTTAAAAGAGCAAAACAAAATAAGAAGGGAAAAGTTACTTCGTTTATTTTTTGCTTTCCTTAAGTATAAACAGGAATACGGCAATGTTAATACTGCTAGTAGAAGAAACACATGCTTAAATAAAACAAGCAACTGGCCTCGTGTCTTGCATTCCCATATGGTAGAGTTGGAGATAATTCCTGGTCTCAGTCTAGTTACCAGATTGCTGGACCAGGGAGATTTGCATGGAGAGCTGACCTGTTGTCTAGAGCAAGGCTTCCCCTCACAGTTTTTTCATTTATTTATTTATATCTTTTTACCTTCTTTTTTCCTTTGTGTGGACCATTGCTTATTTTGAGACCCCTACTCATTCCTTCACCAGAACATAGTTGCCCTGCAGCAACTGAAGAAGCAGCTTACAAGGGCAGTGTTTTATCAGGATAGTGCTTAATGCATCTTGGTTGTCTTTAAAGCCATGCAGCAGTTGGAAGGAAGGACCTCTGCCAGCAGCATGTATCCAGCTTGCTTTCTGAGGACGGTGGTTTGGGAACTAGGATTTCACAAAGGGAATGTCATGCTACACAATAATGACTCATGCAGCAGCTGGAGGAACAGGATTACTCGGTTCCAGGGGAACCAGGGTGCTGCTTTGGCTCTGGGGAGACTGCAGAAGTTGCCTGAACACGAAAAAGAACAGAAGTAAAGTAAGGAATAACAGTAACTCAGTTTAACTGTTTTAATCCTTTGGTAAATGATGAGCAGGTAGTGTGTAAACATATAGTAAAAGGTAGGCATGTTCAGAGGAACCCTGCTTGTCGTTGGCTCATCAGGCGGAAATCTGCCTGCTTTGGTTTTGGAACCTTTTATAGGAAAAAAAGAAATTTGCCTAGTCTTCATTTTTATTTTCTTAGTTTACTGGTCTAACTAAAACCCTTAGAACATTTTTTTTTCATGTTCTACTTTTGGGAAGAAGGGAGCTGCAGAGAGAAAGAACTGCCTCATGTGACTGAGAAATAAGGGAGGCAATGGCGAGGGGTTAATAGGCTTGCGTAGAGTTATTAACAAGGCAAGTTCAAAGGATACTATTACCCATTCTGACTGAAGATAAATGCTGGTAACAACTACTTTTAATGCTTTCTTAGTAGAGGCACCTTAATTAAAATGGCACGACTTAGAAACCGCTAAGCCAGGAGAAGTGCTGATATTTCTCAGATTCCAAGATGTGTCAGTTCAAGGCTAGAAGCCTGCTTGTCCACTGAAGGATCATCTGGATGTTTCATGCCTCTCAATACACGTACCACACATAATATGTTCCAAACATTACCTGATCAATCCATGAAAACCAGAGGGGCTTATGTAAACCAGACTCATTAGGGAGCACCTTGCCAAGTGGAAGTTAAACTTGAGGCTTCAAATTCTTCACAGGTCTGCAGACAGGCCCTCCAAGGCTTAAGTTAGTAAAGAGACCCTTTTTGTAACTGTCCCGTGCTAGCGAATGAGCATGAGGAAGGAGGTTGGAGGTGACATGCTAGAAGGAAGAGGTAGAATTTGCTCTTTTTTCCCCTTCGTGCTGTACCACAGGGTAACTGTTGGTGAGCCTGTCTTTCTGACCACTTATACTTCTGTCAGATTTCACATGAACTGTGCTTGAGGCTTTGGACAAACACACACTTTCATTTCTTGCTTTCCCCACTATTACCTCCTTCCCCATTCACTCCATCAGAAACAGCTGCTTTCAGACTAATAGTAAAGTTTGGCTTCCACAGCTTTTTATTTTGGGCTTTATTTATGGGTGTGGGGAGGGGGGTTGCAGCTGAGCTGAATCTTGGGAACAGAGAAGAGAAGTGTGAGCCAGTGGGCTGAGTGCCACATGTGATGTGCTCTGCTCTGCTCTGCTCTGCTCTGCTCTGCTCTGCTCTGCTCTGCTCTCCTCTCCTCTTCTATTTTCTTTTTCTTTCCTTATATTTGCCCCCCCGCCCCCCCTCTCCTCTCCCCTCCCCTCCCCTCCCCTCCCCTCCCCTCCCGGCTGCTGCACTGGGGCCAGCATGGGGAGGTGAGGAAGGCAGCTCAGCCCCTGCTCCAAAGCTCATGACTTCAATGACAGAAGGGACCTGGCCTCCAGTTTGCGGTGCTCCTGGGACTGCTTCAGTTCCTGCCTCAGCTTCCACAGCTGGAGTCAAAATCTGATCAGCAGTGGATTTGGAGGCTCATCTGTAAGTGTTGCTTCAGGCTGGTTTGAGCAGAGCAGTGCCCTGCATGTACTCATAAGGTGATTGACCTGCTGATAAATTGTAGAAGTATGTTGTTGGTTTTTATTTTTCCCCTCTCCCAAAGGATCAGTCAACATGAGTTGTCCTCCAGATTACTTGTATTGCACGACACACTGTTTTTTGATTGTTGTTTTCTCCTTGGAAGTATTACTTGGAAGTAGTATTATTCAATAGACTAAATAATTACACATGCACTGAGTTAGGTGAGAAGAAATCTGCCTGTGTCTACATCAGCTATGCAGGAGTATCCTTAAGATATAGAGAGACATGGATGTGGTTCAGAACACATCTAAACTAAAAGGCTACTTTTTAAGCCATCCGTAAAAGAAATGGAAAATAAACACATTTCTGATTTTTATGTTATTATAATTTATATGTAAGAAGATAAAAAAATAGTGGCTCAGACTTCAAGTCTTCAAGCTCTTCCAACTAGGAAAAGGGGTTAGGAATACACAAGGATGATCAGCTTGCACCCAGCAGCTCACTGGCCGAGCATTTAGCGAGTTAGCTGTTTTATCTGTGTGCTTAATTGCCTTGATGATTTTTCACTGTGTGAATTACCTTCTAGACTAGTTTGGTAGCACGGGTTAAGATCTTGATTTATGGAACAATGCAGGTCATGTAACATGAAGAAAATCTAAGATTATTTGTGTGTGAAGGTTTCTTCATGTGTACATATAAGAGTAGATCGAGATGAGGTAGAGAGTGTAAGATTGACTTATATTTGCATGTGGTGTTGATTATTTAGATAGTTTGTTAACTTGTTTTATCATGAAGAGCCATCTTCTTTTTAAACGAAGAATTATTGAAGAACAGTCAGTGTGGGGACAGTTTCCCAGAGTTTTTTAAGAAATTCTGAAAGATTATGGCCAAGGAGTATTATTTTGAGCTGGTGAGACAAAAAGATTATAAGCTTAGGTGAATGTCTGTGGAGTAGCTGACCCAATTCTATGGAGGGTATTATGCAGTGGAGTTATATTTGTTGGAGTAATACTTAATTTAGGAAAGGAATTTGAGAAATAAGATTGACTGATAAAAAGGAATGTAGACGTAATATGGCATAAATGTTTTTGGCGTGGAAGTAGGCAATGGACACCTACTTCCTCTGCTAGTCTCTCAGTTTTTTGCTGACCATCAGACTTGTAACCTTAGGACCTTGATGTGCCCTGGAATCCCTTTGGGCCACAGGAAGGTTCCTGACCTACGCAAGAGTAGGGATCTGTCTCTCTGTTTGTAGAAACTGATGCACAGGTAGGGTGACAGGTCACTAAGGAACCTCAACTCCCTTTTACAGTGAACAGATATGAATCATGGAATCCTGCACTAATCCCCAGATTGAGCTTTGCATGATGAATGGAATGTGGAGATGGAGGATGGGGAGAAATGTTGAAGGTCTGGGGAAATAAATGCTGTTTTCACTGGGATAAAATGAAATACGAGAATTTGCTCCTCCAAAGCAGACAAAAATAGATTGTATAATCAGTAAGCATAAAGTGTTATTTTAATATAAATAATTATATCTGTTACCCAATTATATAAATATTACACATTTATAAATGCACATAGCTTGTTAGTATGTATTCTCTTGTGGGCATACCTGTATATCAGTACATAGTTCACCTTTAAAAACAATGATGTGTCAGCAAACAAAGAGTTATTTTGGCAAACAGAAGTAGAATAGAGGAGAGTTAAAAGTACTCTGAATTGAAAGCAGTGTAGCTAACTTGCAATCAAACAAAAGCACTGTATTTGGGGGGTTCAGACTTGTAAGTCTTCTCTTT